CCTTGTCATAGACAATCTCGTCTGTAGTGGCAAGCAATGACAGGAACCCAGTCTGCAGCAATTCACATAATCCTTACCAGTGTTGCTACTAATAATGTACAAGCCAGATGTCAGGGTTCCAAGTAACAACCTATATGAAATCAAAACACCAGGGTTGACCCCAGGTATACATATCTTTCTCTGGTTCACACACTTAGAGACAAGCCCAGTTCAGAACGAGGAAGTCATACACATTGAAATGAATGTGATTTAAAAAATGTAACCATGCTCTGAAAGTCCTAGGATCTCATGGGCCCCAAGTCTACCCATCATTCTCTGGATTGCAATTCTCTTGTGCAAGCTCTAATGAAATGAATGAGAGATGGACAACAGATAACAGGGCTTGCATGGGACATGTTCCTGTCAGATGGTGCCTTTGGATTTTCTATTACAGGTGTAGGAATATAAGGCAAGTGGCACTTCAACATTTCATTGTGTGTATGTGTGTGTGCGTGTGTGTGTGTTTTAATGAGCTGCTCTAGGGCACATGCATTCAGAACTTCTGACTGAAAGATGATTGTTGAGTGAGAGAACCGTTTTTTTTTTTAAAAAATACCAGTTTTAATTTAATATATGTGTACTTGAGTTGAGTGAAATATATAATTACCATAAGCAATAACAAAGTGTGTCGCAGGACTATATATGAAACAGGTGACTAATGCTGTCAAATATATGAAAATCGTGAGCTACCCAGCAGTGAATAGCTGTACTTCCAAAGAGAACTGGGATGCTTCTATTGGTTTTCATGGAGAAAGATCCCAGGGATCAGTCATATAAATTAAGACTTGTTTGATAATGTGGGCATCCACAAAAAGAAAAAAAAAATGAAAAAAAAAATAACCCTGTAAATGTTCCTTTGTAAAACTTGTACATTTTATTTATACTGTCTTGTTTTGTACACACATTTATGTGCAGTGAGCTCTGAATACATTGAAAATGCACTATATTTTTCTATTTTACTTAACAGAGCATCACAAAAAGGAACATGTTTTTCAGTGCTATATAATGTGTTTTCCCACGTTTAGGACCAAAGATAGTTACAAAGAATTCAAATAGATAATTTGCCCTTCCTCCCATTTTCTTTTTCCTTTTACAGCACTGTACAATGTTTTATTTGTTGTTTTATTTATTTATTTTGTTAGAATAATAATTTTGATTATGCTATTTTTTTCTTCTTTCACCCTTTGTTAAAGAAATCTGTAAAAAAGATAAACAAAAATATTTGAATTAACATAACCCCATTACATAGACACTTCCATTTGTAATCTTTGTAATAGACTGTAAATATATTTTTGGAAATATAACTGTGAATAAGGGTTATTTGTCATTGTCTGTCTATATAGCAACTGCAGCATTTTATAGCTTTCTCTAGATGTCATAATTCCTCATTAGGTATATTCCTCATTAGGGAAACTGATAATTTACTATTAAACTGAGAATAGCTGTTGTGTTCTTAATGTATAGATATGAGCATTTTGTAGATTGGTTAAATTGGTTCATTTAAAATATTACTTACATAATTGGTTTCAACAGCCTATGCTTAGATACAAGTAAACCCGAAGCACATACAGAAATAAGTTTATATTCATGATCTGTGTTGATTCCCACAGTCCACATGCAAATATATTCTCATATGTCACTGGGAAGGGGAGGGGGGAATTTAGGTAACAGCTAAACATGGAGCAATTAGAGAGGATGCCAACCATCATGGCGGTTGCTTGCTTCGGAGCAGGAATGGCGTATATGTGCGGATTCAAAGGTAGCCTTCCATTCTCTCTATAAATCCCCAAAAGACAAATTATACTGGTGTTAACAGCTTGGCCTATCATGAGTAGCATTTGCACAAGAGGAACTATTCTAATTGGTTTATTGCTCTGCCCGTGGATCGGGCCTAAGGCTATAGTTCTAATCTCACTTCATTTGATTACAACAGTTCCATTGGCTATAATTGTTTTAGCTTGTGCCATTTGCTTGCAAATTTACACCTCTAATTATCTTCCTATATCTTCCTATATAGATTCCGTAGCTAATAGTGTTTGTGTGATTGCAAAAAATAAATGAGTGCAGTGCAGTTTGGTGGAAATTGTCACGCTTACCCCCCAAAAACCCAAAACTTTGTGTTTGACTGTTATGGATGTAACTGTGTTTCCTCTTTCTGATCTGATAAAACTGTATTCAAATGGGGATGAAATTTGAATTTGAACACATTCCTATTTGAATGGGTATCCTAATATTGATCTACTATAGGACCTATTTTTCGTAGAAAATTAGCCACTTGGGGTTCTATCAGCATGCTTATCATAATTCTCAGGACATGGAATACTTCAAGAATAATACCTATATATTAATTTACACATTACTCATAATTGAGACCACAATACAATTTCAGTAATTAGGAGGATAAGGCAGTTATATCATGCTTTGTTTGCATTTACCTTTTTTTCATCTTACCAGCAGCTTTGGAGAAAAATGGATTGCATAGAAATTCATATTTCTGGAGAAACGATATAAAACATGATACAGTGTATATATAATTGTATCATTTTTCATCTAATTAGATTCTACCTAGAGCACAGTCTCCCTCTCACACTTTCTATCTTGCATATGACAGTGTGCAATGGGGGTCACAGACCCAATGACTTGCTAGTGTATTGAGCAGCTCTGAACAATAGTTTGTAAGATCTGCTTATATCATATTGCTGCTGGATATAAGATGATTTAGAATTAGTTCCAGGAGTCTAAAAAAATTCAAATTCTATAAAGTTATGTGGGA